GCCATTAAAGTGAAAAAAATCAATTATTAGTACAGGCCTAATTTGGGGATGTATATTTTAGAGATCACATTATGCTGAATATGTGCATTACAAACACAAAGTAAAAATCCATAACATTATTGTGCCTGTTCAGTAGCCACTTTTCAAACTGAAATATCTCAGCCATTTTAAATGACATTTTTATTTTTGCAAAAATGCTGAAAGCAATTAGAGGGTAATATTGACTGTTCACTTGCCAAATTTCACTGTTCCAATGAAAGCTGCTTTTGAGTTACTGTACACAAGTGCAAAAAGCATCCCAGATCATTTTACATACAAGTGAAACCAAAAAGAAATCACCATTTAAAAGAAAAGAAAAAGCAGTTGATAAAAGAAATGCTTGCTCCCAAGTTGAAACTACGTGTCATCATAGAGCAATCTGTTAAACTTGAGGTAGGAACCCCTAGAAAAAAAATAGTTGTTTGCAATGCCATTGCTGAGTATCATAATTCAAGCAGAGAATTTTCACGCTGATGTTCTGCATAAGGAATGTTCACTACATGCCTTTGGTGAGAGAATTTTGTCTCACCTCTCTCAGGAACATTTATTAGTTACGTATTTTAATTGTCTCTTTCTTAATTAAAAAAAATTCCGAAACTCTTGTGTATACAAACGATCAAGAGGGATTTTCTGTAATTTAAAAAAAATCACGGTCAACCCATCTTTCCAGAATTTGAGGCTACCTCCAGTTCACCTGAAGGGCTATTAATTTCTCCTCAGTGTGAATTTAAGCAGCAGGGTCATTCTTAGAGATTTGAGTAAAGGCATAGGTAAGTCAACTCAAAACTTTTACAGAGCTCAAACACAAGATGTTGTTCATAGCCAGAGAAAATTACTAGGATCCTCTTGCAAAGGTGCTTTTGCTAGGATTGGTTAATAAGTCATCCAGGTTGGCCTGCCAGGAAATTGTTACAGATACTGTTGTCCCTTGGGGATTTTTCCTCCACCCACACCTTGTCCATGCAGTGTAAGTGTGACGCCTTTGAGGTCAAATTCTCAAGGTAGATGGTTGTGCTAAAATCAGTTGGGTTCCACTGTTGGGGTAAATCATAGCTCTATTTTTCTATCTGCCATTAATTTTTCTGTGGGCTATGAGTCAACATCTGTTTTTTCTGCCTCGGGGTTTGATTCTCATTAATGTTTAGGCTTCTTTACACCATCATGGCAGTAAAAAATGGCCTTGGAGCAGAATTTTATTTGCACCCATTTGGTGGCCCCCTTTTTAAACTTCTGACACACTTTTCTACCTTTTCAATGTGTTGCTCTGAAGAACTCATGGGTGCTTTGCTCTTGAATCAGAATTTTCATTATTGTGTTGTCTGCCCTCATGCATGGAAAACAGAGATTTTATCTGCCAGAAATGAATGAGTTTTAATCGTAATGGTCCAAGCAAATGTCACGATTTAGAGCGTAAGAGGATCAATGACATGGATGGGTTGCACAATGAGCCTGTGTAAACAGGAGCTGGGATGTGAGAAGGTGGAATGGCTTCCTTTACTTTCAGTAAAAGTTACCATGGGAGAAAAATGGGGTTACATTTTATGAATTGGGGAAAATTACCCTTTTTTCACAAGGCCAAGTAGTGTAAACACAAATTTCTCAGCTGTCTTCCATACCCTGCCCCTTTCACCCCCCTCACATTTTAGGGAAACTGGGCTGCATTCCTGGGACATCCCAAATAGAGTTGATATATCCCTAGTATTTTCTGGTGTCTGGGAAAACAATTTTCTCCTTCATTTCAAATTAACAATGTAGTGCCACACCATGTACCTTTGAGATATGATACAGGGTAACCCTATGAAGAATTCAACCACAGCCATGCAGAAAAAGAAAGGGGGTTGTCTGAGTGGGGTGACACAAAGGTGATGATTAGTAGGCTGCACTGAGCCATTGTTCAGTGGAACATAGTCTTTATTTATAAATTATAAGTAAAGATCTGCTAACTGCCCAACTGAGGATACTTGGTCATCTGCACACTTCAGTCCAAGTGCAATAAATACAGATCAAATGTTCACCATCCACATAATAACAAGGATTTGATCCAAAGCATAATTTTATTTCTACACAATCACGATGTGTTTTGCTGTATTATATGTATTATATATGGGTGAATCATTATTTAAATGAAAATAAGAGAGGGAGCTGAAAACAATTTTAATTGCCAGCTGGAACTCTTGGGGCACTCTCCCAAAAGTAGCACCTTAGCCAATATCTATTCATACATTTTGTCTGTGCAATTTACAGTGCCATTTATTTTACACCTTCCCTTCCCTTCCCTTCCCTTCCCTTCCCTTCCCCTGTTTGTGCCCATTTTTTAAAGGATCTGAAAGTATCAAAAATCATGGGAAATTTTACCTTCTGAAGTAGCCCTGGCAGTACGTTTGTCCCAAATTCACATGAATGTATTTAGACAATTTAAAGCATAAAAATTTCCTCTTGATAGCATTTATTTGGTACAGGAAAGTTGATGCCTCTGACAAAGAGTAAAATTAAGCAATAATTAGGGGGTAAGCTGTGACCTTGTCATGCGCTGGTGGAGGCATCTGTGTGTCCCCTGTGATCTTAGGATTGTGAGGGATATTTGGGGACAGGAATACAACAAAGAACCAAACCACCTCAGCATCTGCTAAGACATTTTTCTCAGGTTATTAGGTAGGCTAGTAGCAAATATTGCTGTCCCAAGATGTTCTTCATCGCTCATGTTCTGGAGATTATTTTACTCTCTCCCATGGATGCAAGTGCACTCTAACTGCCCTCACTGCTGGTCTGCCTTGGAGCTTTGAACCACATTGAAGGCAGCCCGTGTCAAAGAATCATGGAGCTATAAAATGTTAAGGTCTTGGAAGGTACTTTAAAGATTGTGATCATCTCATTCTCCCTGCCATGGGCAGGGATACCTTCCACTAGACCAGGTTGCTCAAGGATTTATCCAACCTGGTGTTGAACACTGCCAGGGTTGGGGCATCCACAACCTTCCTGAGAAACCTGTTCTGGTGTCTCATCACTCTCACAGTAAAGAACTTCTTCCTGCTACCCAGCCTAAATTTCCCCTCTTTCCATTTGTCTCTGTTCCCCCTTGTGTTGGTGTGACAGTTCCTGATGATGAGTCCTTCTCTGGCTTTCCTGTCTCCTCCTTCAGACACTGGAAGGAGCTGTGAGGCATCCACACATCATTTTCTTCTCCAAGCAAAACAGTCCCAGCTTTCTCAGCCTGTTTTCATAGGGACAGGTGCTCCACTTCATAAGGGAAGTGTTCCATGTCCTGTTAAATGGCAGGACTCCATCACATCCACACTCCATTCATCACTCCACTTACAAATCAAGGTCTTTCCCACTGGACATACCTTTCCCTGACTTCACAAGCCACACTGCAGCATCCTCAGATCAGATCTAAATATGAGGCAGAGATCCTTCAAACACTATTTAATTTAAATAAAGTAAATAACTTGAAGTAAATAATTTTCCCGTTGCATCTATTTCCTTCCTGAAAACTGATAAAGCAGTATTTACGGGCGTTAAAAAGAAAATAAAAAAAGATCTGTAGATGTGTAATGTCTTCACTCCTGGGACATGAGTAAGGTTTCTCTAGAAATTTTTGGTTGTTTTGTATGGGATGTGTCTCATGTCATTTTAGATGGCAGTGAAGTAGATGCCTGTGTCTAAGCCAGTTGTGAAATTTTCTTCTTCTTGATGTTGGAGAGTATCTGTCATTTTTTTACTCCTCTGCTCAACAGAGCACCAGGACACCTGTTTTACTTTAAAGTGGTGGTTCCAGTCTTTGCTGTGGAGAGGTGGCTTTGACCCCTGAGTGCCAGGCTGAAGTATCTTCTTGGTGTTCTTTTAATGGGATCTTTACAAAGAATAGCAAAAAATATTCCACTACCTCCAGATTTGTGCTAGATAGCAAAAAATTCAGTGAAGATCTATAAACTAAGCCAGAATTACAGAAACTAGAATAAAAAATTTAGTTTTCAATGTCCTGTTTCATCCTCATCTCCAAAGCAAGGTGTTGCTGTTTCTGTGACAGCTGCTGTATTTTTTGTGTATCTATGACAAGTTTAAAAAACCTGTTTTGTATTATTGACTTTAAAAATGTTACAGAAATGTACTTCTTTCAGCTTTAGAGGAATTTCTTGGAAAACCTCTGTTTTCTCATCTATTACTACCAGTAGTAGCCCACATATGAGAAGGCCCACAGATAAAAAGCATGGAGCTTTCTATGTAATGAGGTGGCAAGGAAGGTTTTTTCTGCTGTCTTTAGCTAAACTACACAATGCTTTTTCTGGAACAAAACTTCCATGTTACATCTAGAAAGGGGAGAAAAAGTCTTAGCTTTAGCTTCTGTATAAATATTTGCACCATGTTCATTCTCAAGTTTGTGTGTAGTCATCTTTAATTGTTTTAAATAATCATGATAAAGAGAAGAACCACTATTTTTTTACACGATAGACTGCATGCAATTATGTAGGGAGGTTGAAGTAGTGGCCTAAATGTACACAGTTCAGTGAAATATGGAAGGAATGGATTTGTCTCAGAAAGTCTGAGACAAAACAGAGCTCTTTCAGGAAAGCCACTGCAAGTATCAGCCTGGAAAGTCGCAATCTCTGCACCTGCTAAAGATCCACATTAACACAAGTTTCCACTGCCCCATCTTTTGGCTATATGAATAAGAACAGCATAAATTTGGATTTCAGAAGACCTTACTAATGGCATAGTGGAAGAGGGTGAACCTACAAGAAGGAAAAAAAGGGTAGAGCAGCTGACAAAGGGTCTCCTGCATGTTCAGATAGTTTTGAAGGCCGGGCTGATGTTAAAATTAAGCTTGTGGACTGATGTGAAAATTAAGACTGTCTTCTTGAAGCTTCTGGCAGCTGCCCTGAGAGCCCTGGTTATTATAGAACAGTTGCATCAACACAGAAAGTGACACCCTTAGTTACTGGGATGAGATGTTATACCTGGATCTTGCTCTGCTTGCTCTCCTTACTTTGGGTTATTTAAGGCTGCTTATTTGCATGGAATAGTGTTATGAGTGTTTTCTAGGCTTTGACTGTTTACTTTTGCCAAAGTAAAATTAGCACTTTCTACTTCACCACCCAAATACCAAAGGAGAAGTGTCCAAACTTTAGCCCTCAGTCTGAAGGGAACACTGAATTTTGGAAGTGTCCCTCATGCTAACAGCAAGCTGACTTGAAATCCTGTGTCTGACCAACTCCAGACTTTCTGGGATTTGAAAACAACTTCAGATTTGATATTTGGCCTAGTTTGTTAACGAAAATGGAAAACTGCATTTCCTCAGCCTTCCTGAAGAAGAGCCCATGAACCTGATGAACTTGAGATAAAAACAAGGACTAGCAGGATGCTATGTCCCATCTCGGACGAGGTCAGCAGGAGTTTTGAGCAACATGGGACCGGCCCCTCTAGCTGGAAACTTCTTCATTTGCCTCTGAACTCTGCAGCCACTGGGGTTTGAGACCTACACAGGTGAGCAGTGCTGAGTGAGCCATTTCTTTTGCTCAGAAGAGGATATTCCTGATGAGGGAAATCACAGATTTCATGTGCTCACATTTTTTTTGATCCTCCTTAAGCAAAAAGGGAACATTTAGAATGCCAAAATCTTGTCTTAATATTTCACAGAGGTAAGTCTTTTATAAACGCATTGTTGTAAATGGCACTATAAATTCTCCACTATGGAAAATTGCTATCTGGTTTGAAATGAGGCAGGATAAATAGAACTATAAAAGGTTACCTGGAGTAAACAGATAGGGTTTCTAAAATGTACCACATGAGATAGATTGGAGCTCATAGTAATCTGTTTTCCATGCTTAACATATGATCAGCATCAGCTGAACTCTGTAACTGAGCTGCCATCTGTATCAATCCTGTTCCTAGATGTCTTGGCCCTGCTAATGAAATCTGGAAGTGGAATTGTAAATGGATTCAGTGAATGGTAGATGTCAGCCCATTGCGTGATGGGCAATCATCAATCATCCACTGTCAGTTATTTCTGTCTCAGTGAGTAAGCCTTTATTTAAAGCATAAAGTAAGAATGTTGCCAGACCACAGGAACAAGCCCTGAGCTGTTTGCAGGTGCTGCTATTCACAGCTGCCAATTAAACCCCTGACATTTCCATAATGGCCAAGAGGCAAGGCATATGCACTTGATACAAACATTTTTGTAAAAATTAATCTCAGTTTATCAATACTTCACTTTTTTTTTTTTTTTTTTCCCCCAGAGCGACATACAACATCCTACTTTGGGCCTATTGTTTGTTTGCCGTAGAAAGAGAGAAATACGAGTTGGAAAGCAGCCAGGGCATTCATTTCCCCAGGATATACAGCAGATTCCAGTGGCTCATTTCAACCCTTAATTGGGGAGGGAAAGCACAGTAGTGAGGAATTCCACCTTCAGAAAATGGTGTGTGTGCCCCTTGCCCCCCAGCCATGTGCACATGCTCAACTCCAGCATTTCTCATCACATGCTGGCCCTTACCTTGGTAAAAATGTAATGTTTGGCTTGGCAAATGCTGTTCCTGAAGTTACACAGCCTGTTGTGGTTTGTTGCTGCTATACCAAAATGTTACCTTATCTGGATTTTTATACAGATCTCTGGACATACTTTTTCTGTCTGGTCCTTCTCATTACCCCTCCACTATGTGAAAAAAAAAAAAAAGAAAAGAAAACCCACAAAAATCTAAAAATGTGAGCACATTTTAATATGCTCATTCTTTTCTTTTGGACAGGAGAGAAAAACATAAATTGTCATCTCAACTTATCAAAGACATTCCTCAATATTTCTGCAAGTTTATATAAATTTCATAAAATTGCCAGTGATGAGCTAGGGTGTTGTTTTTTGGTTATTTTTCCTAGAGAAAATATTTTCATAGAAAAAAATTATATATTTCTGCAGAAAAATAAACTGCCTAGTATTGCCACCTGACATTTATAGTTTGGAGGACATAAAACTTTTCAGAGGTCCTTTTATTTCTTGCTCTCAGCTGTTTATAGTTCTTCAGGGGTACCCTGATCTGTAAGTAAATACAGAAGAAGAAAGGACTGCATTCACATTTTGGAGGAGATTTCATTACATGCTCATTGCTCTGCCCCTTTTTGCTGCAAAGACTAGAAAAGGCAGAACACTGAGTGGGAAACTGGATAGCACTGGGGCATTTTAAACTTGTCTTCTTCAGTCTTCATGGTACTGAGGGAGATCACATAAGTCACCCAGAAATTTGGAGTGGATTTTTGTGTTTCCTTTTGTCTGGTTATAAAATGTTGCACTATTGCGTGAAATTAATTTCTGAAACATAGAGAATTCTGTTAGTGTGTTATATTTAGAATTGTTGCTAAAGAGCTTGCTGGCACGTGGGTTTTAAACTGGGTGTAATTGTTTGCCCAACAGCTGTGCGGTGTGCTCATTGTCAGATGCAGAAGTGTCAGTGAAAAGTTTTATCAGCAAAACTTAGTTTGCTTCACCTGACTGAAACAAGCTGTCCTACCTTAAGCATTTCACGCCAATGGAAGTGGATAAGCATATCTATGCTGAGTAATTTCCTACATATCTTGGATCTGAAATTTTAAGTATAGATTGAACTTTGTTCAACGTTCCATTTCTTTTGTCCATGTAGGTGCCTTGCAAAGTTCCATTGCTTTTCAGGCATAGATGTTGCTTCAGGACTAGTAGGAATTCAGCTCATTCAGCTTATTTCTAACAAGTTTCTTAATTTTTAAAATTTTCTTTTTCATTCAAAACCACTAAAATGTTTGAGATCTGCAAAAACATTGCCTTTATATGTTAAATAAGAATGTTAAAACCTGATTAATGTTTTGATTAGGTCTCTTCAGAGCTTGAAGGACCAAACTGACTGAGTTATCTAGGGTAGATTAATTAATCCCACATATATTGCATTTTATTTTAAAGGAAAGAAAAAAGAAAGCACTAACTTAAAACTGGCTGACTTAAAAAAGTCAAAAATCGAAAAATCTCCCAAGTCTCAGCATCAAGTTCTTCTCTGTAGCATATCTTTGTGGCTGTAAGGTAATTTCCTGTGTTCAGGATGACTCAGCCCTCATTATCATCCAAGATAACCATCTTCTTTGGGTACTTCCATGTAAGCAGAAATCACTGAGGTCATACTGCTGCTTTGTGCCCTCTGACTTGCCCCCCCTGCTCTAAGCTAAAAGGCAAAGGCAAAAGGTATCTAATCCCTGTTGGACTCAGTTCCTGTGCTCTTGTAGACCTTAAGGCAATAATAATAATATTGCTCTGAGTGTGTCCACATGTAGAAATACAGAAATGTCCAAGCTGCCTGTAAATGAACCGTTGTGGATACTGGACACAGTCAAGATGAGCCAGCAGAGAACACCAAGAGGACTAATTTACCCTGCTTTTTGACAGTGGTAGCTCCATATGGACAAATTTATCCTGCCAGAAAGCAGGCTGATTTCTGGTTAGCTCATTTACAGCTAGTCTGACTACTGGAATTTGCAATGTAGACATACATTCTATTAAGATGACGTGTGTGATTGTTTTAAATAAAAATATGGAGATTGAGATTTTGGAGGTACATAAGGGCTTCCATTGAAGTTGGTTTAAGAAGTTGCTACCTCCAGTGATCTCTTTTGCAAATTCTGCTCAAGATGGTATGCCTCATGAGTCAGCACATGGGATCACATGCCCACCTAAGAGCCTCAGGTGTTTACAACACAATATTTCAGCTTAAATCACTGAAGAGGATGTGTTTGCATTTAGAGTCCTACTCTAAATGATGAAGTGAATCAGAGCAATTGTATCTCTTGATGTGACAGAAGCAGGCAGACAGTTTGGTGATAATGCTCCATATCTCTCCTTTTAAAGAGCCCAAAGAGACCTGGATGCCAGGTCCCATGGCAATGTCCTTCTGCTTCACAGCACATTAGTGGTTGAGCACCTCATTCTCCTCATATTCTGTCAAAAATATTTGTCCTTTTAGGGTTGTGGCACTACCTAGTCTCCTACTGTAAAGTTTGATCCTGGTAAAGAAGGCAAAGCACAAACCCAGATTTCCCGCCTGATGACAGTGAGATTTCTCAGGGGCGTAAATCAAAACATAAAATTCACTTATTCAAGTTATATTCCTTTAACTTCAGGGAAGTTTATACACGTGAACATTCCTTGTACAAAGGGATACTGGCATGCAGAGGAGGATTTGACATTATGAAAGCAAACAAGTACCAGTAGCCATTCTTCCTTCTATTGCTGCACTCATGCATGATGAACTCCAGGTTTGTCTCTTGCTTCCCTGCTCCTGAGGCTGCCCAGCTATGATCTAGTGTACTGACCTTACTAGCCAAGTAATGGCTTTCATGCTACCAAATCCCATCAGGAACTTCATGTCTCTTGTGGTAGTCTTCATCTATTGCAAACTTGTGTTATCATTGGCACGCTTAAAATTGTGATGTTATGTTTCAAAAGTTTTTAAAGCTGAAACACACAAGCTCTTTTATTTCTCTTCTGCCTCATAGGATTATTTTAGCTCTACACATGCAAAACCTCATATTAAGCAAGAAATTAATCATATCAGGGTAAAGTAGCTACTGAAAAATTGCCAAGCACCATAAACATTGGTCAAAATGCAGGCCAACCATTTGCACAGCAAGTAATTGAAGCTAGAGGTTCACTGGAGCGGCGCGTAACTTTTCATTTTGAATTAGAAAGCTTTTCAAACATAAAATGATATCTGAGAAGACTGCACTACCTAAAAGGTTTCAGTAAACAGTGAAAAAAAAAGTGTTAAAATATGCTGGAGAGATCAATCATGCTTTGTGGTTACTTGCTCCACGTAGTTTCACACACATTCTCTGATAAACAATGTCCCACACACTCTGCCCAGACCCATTATTTTCTTCAGCACCAAAGCGTCAAGGGCCAGATCCTCATTTGGTTTAAGTCAGCAGAGCTCTGCTGAGGTTGACTGCTTGCCATTGATTTATGCCAGCTGAAGATCTGGCCTGAAGAGTGACAAAAATATAATTTTATGTTTTATTTATGGGTGTAAAACAATAGTCCTAAAGGGAGCAGATGTTCCATGTCAAGGGAGGAGGTTTATTAAATGCAATTCCAGACACAAAAGCTAATCTTTGTGGTCAGGGAAGGCATGAGGCCTGTTTTACATGATGAACTTTAATTGAAATCTTGCTCTTTTGTGTTCATTTATTTCTTCTATTTGGGAGCTGACAAGCGTCATTTAAATTACTTAACAGCTGCCAGACACCTTAAAAAACAATAAATAGTTGTCTTAGACACCTGGAGAAGGTTACACAGTCTTCATTTGTCTTCCAAGTACCTGCTGAAATGGTATTAATTTGGTATCACATATTTTTAATTAAGTGGTCACTTCACTAAAGAAATTTCCATCTGTTTCAGATGGAGCTGTGCAGAGAAAAATCGCTCAGTTTATGGAGGGTTTTGCAATTGCAAAATGTCTTTTTTTTCAAGTTTGGAT